TAGTGAGACCCAGAAAACCGCGGAGTTTAGTGACGGGCAAGGGACGCGGCTAAGCTACCATGGCCTCAATCTTCGACGGCTCGGGTGGCAAACTGCCAGCCGTGACCACATGCCCCAAGTATTCCATTGTGGTTTGTCAAAAGGAACATTTTGGAGAGTTTGACGAAGAAGGCATTTGTCTGGAGGGTGTGAAGGACCACTCGAAGATGTTCGGCGTGGCTGTCGATCGTCGGGCTATATATTAAAATCTCGTCGAAGAAGAAGACAACGAAGTGCCGTAGATAATCCCGAAACAAGTCATTCATAGAGGCCTGGAACGTGGACGGGGCATTCATAAGGCCGAAGGGCCTAACGAGGAACTCATAGTGACCCTCATGCATTCGGAAAGCCGTTTTAAAGATATATGCGTCATGCATCTGGATCTGTTGATAGCCCGACCGTAAATCTAGCTTGGTGAAGACGCGTGCGTGGCCCAATTCATCAAAAAGCTCATTGGTGGTGGGAATCGGAAAATGATCGGGGATGGTAACGGCATTGAGGGCGCGGTAATCGACGCAAAAGCGGTACGATCCATCCTTCTTCCGAACAAGCAACATTGGAGAGGAAAAAGGACTACGAAAGGGGCGAATCAAACCGTGCTCTAGCATGTCGCGGACCTGCCGTTCGATTTCCGTTTTTTGAAAATACGGATAACGGTAGGGGCGAACGTTTACGAGTTTTGATGTAGCCTCCAAATGAATGCGGTGGTCCCATGTCCGCGCGGGCGGTAGATTTTGTGGGAGCTGAAAAATAGTCCCTTGCTCCTACAAAGTAGTACGGACCAGTGCAGGAATGTCCGAGGGAAACACAATTGCGTCCGTTGTTGGTGACTAGGGCGTGTCATCCGCGGGCAGCAATTCGAAGAATTGCAGTGGCATATGCGCGGCTAGGGAACACAAATTCCCGAACGAAATAGGTTGAGGTGATGGCGTACTGCCTCGGAGTGTGATTTCCGATCCGTTCCAACAAAAATCCATAGTCATATTGGCGTAGTTGTGGCACACCTTCCCCAAAGTCTGAAGCCACTGAACACCGAGGACGACGTCGGGCCCATGGATTTCCAGCATATACAAATCGACCTCAAAAAGAGTGCCTTGTAATAGCAGCGGCGTGCGCGGGCAGGAGTAGGCGCAACGCAACGAATCCCCGTTACCCACATAGACACGAAACGGGGGAACCGGGTGAAGGACCAACGCCAAGTGTTCCGCCACTGAGGGATGGCCAAAATTGTGCGTGCTACCGGAGTCCAAGAGAACATGGACCTCGTGGGTATTGACCGACCCAACCAACTTTAGCGCTCGGGGGGCTTGGGCTACTGGCTAAGGAATGCAAACTAGAAATGTCGGCCAAGATTACCCCCTCATCAACATCCGGAGAGCTGTCCATCATGATTTCATCGGAAGGATCTTCATCATTAGGCGTCATATATGCGAGAAAATGGCCCTTACAATGGTGACCCGGTGCCCACTTTTCATCACAATACCAACATAATCCTTTTTTGCTACGTTCATTCTTCTATGCTTGGGAGACTCGGATGACAGGTAACGGTGGGGCAGTAGGGGCAGAAAGCCGATTCCCTGTGGCGGTTGTGGTGTCCGTGGGGGAGCTATTCGGCGCTACACCAGACGAGGCAGGACTCGGCTGATGGGTAGGCCACGAGCGACGGAACGAAGCCGACTCATTGTGAGTAGCGCATAATTCACGAGCCAAGCCAAAAGCCTCTTGAATGGTACGGGGGTTACGGAGGTTAACCTCCCGTTGGACCGGTTGATGTAACCCCGAAACATACATGGCAATTAGGGTTTGTTCTGGAACCCCCGAAATTTTGTTGAGGATGGTTTCAAAAGTAGTCTGGTAGGCCAAAACCAAAGTGGTCTGCTGCAATTTAGAAAGCAATCCAATGTAATATTCATAGTAGTTCGGGTCAAAGCGCTGCCGCAGGGCAATCCAAAACGCTTCCCAACTCATGCCACAATTATTTGTTTGGTAATAACGAAACAAATCGGAAGCCGGATAATCAATGAGCATAGCGACCAATTGCAAGCGTTCAACATCCGGCGTGAGAAAGTAATAAAAATAATTTTGAATCCGAAAAATCCAACCGGCCGGGTCGTCGCCATTGAAGCGCGGCGCCTCCACGCGCATGCGCGGGATGGTCTCAGTATTGGCCCCACTGTTAGGACGGTTGGGTGGGGGTCGCCAGCCCATCCCAAGAGTGCGGTTCCATCGCGGCTCAGCATGAAAACCTGTTGCCGCTAACGCCGCCACCTGGCCCTTAGTCATCTGGAGGTCGGCGCTTAGATTATTGATGGCCTGTAGGAGATCGTCCATGGTGATGGCGCCTTGGGCTGGAGTCTCGGGTGTTGGAGTCGACATGAGAACGTCAATGAGAGCACCAGTTGATAGGAAAACTTGGCGGAAAAAGAACGAGAAACCCTAGGCGGCAACGTTGGGTTGTCCCTGGGAGTTTCGTACGTGCAAAAGGAGAGAAGAAGAGATTCTACTAAACTAAACTTTTGTATTATTGCTTTCTTGACAAAGTAAGGGGTCTTCTCTTTATATACTCCGTAATAGAGAAACCCTAATCCTAATCCTGTCGGTTCAAGAAAAGCGTCAAGGGAAAGAACCGAAAAGAAAACCCTTGAAGGGACGTATAATTCTTCCACCTAACAAAATATAATTTACAAATATAAAAGGAACATAAGAAAAATATTAAACGTAATCGCCGTAACGTCAAGGTCGTCGCATAGTC